ACTACACACGTAGAACCTGGCAGTCTCTTTGATTGGGCTTGTTTGATCAGCCCAATAAAGAGACATTGGCCCAGCGTTGAGGGTTATAAATACCCTCTCTTCCGAGAGGATCAAGTATTTAACTCATATCTCAGAACTCTTACTTGCTTGCTCATTCCGCTTCTTACTTTACCATCGGAGTATCTTGCAGGTACCCCCAATTTCACTCAACTTCTTTCCGAGCCAACTGTGACGGTCCATCTCTGATCCGGTAAGATCAACAATTATAATTCAATTTGTCTGTATAACAATTTATAATATAATCCTAAGAGATACATGTTGTTTTTAAAATAAAAATTGTTTTAATTCTTAATAAAAAGAGTAAAAACTTAACAAAAAACCTGCGGAGAAAACCCGTCTCAGCCCGCTTTTTTAAGCGAATCGAGCCAACTTAAGGTACCGAACCAAAAACTTTAGCCCAACCCGCCAAAAATAGCAGGTCAAACAGATCAATTCGATGGACCCAATCCGTTTTGCCACCCCTACAATGATATGTGTTTAATACTAAATAAATACATTTAATTAAACACAATATTAACATATTTTATTTTATTAAAAACTAATTTATATAAGTAACATATTTTATGGGGACAAAATAAAAAAATTTAAATGATTTTAACCAAAAAATTGTTCTTTGTGGAGCTTGAGCCCCCTTAGTGTATTATGTGCATTCACCTCTGGCCCCTTTTACTACCCTTAGCCCGTGACAATTAATGCGTCACAAGAGTTAGTTAAATTAAATTTATTTTTGTATTTTTAGCACTACAAAATTACAAGGTACAATGTCCACGGACCTGTCCTGCTTCACTTCACTTTTTCACACGATTGATCAAATTTTAGATTCATACTTTCAATTATGTCTGTATTACCCTCTCAACTATATTCGCTCACCAAGTTATTTTGCAGAGCGAACATTACCCATTTCAAATAGTTAACATCAATAAATCATAAAGACTAACAAAAAAGGCCAAACTAAAAAACTTTTAAACATCAATAAATCATAAAGACTAACAAAAAGACCAAACTAAAAAACCTAAATTATGGCTAGAAGACTAAATTAAGTCTTAGACTACAGTTTAAGTCTCTCACGTGAGCAACCTTGCCATACCAATCTCTTTTATTTTCCAATGCATTTAGTAGGGGTTAGTAAGCCAGACAAATAAAACTTTCAGAAAATATTGATAAACAATATGTTTTTTTTTATGAATAGTGAAAATAAATAACAGGAGATTTTAACACCCATAAAAAAAAAACCCTGCAATTGCTTTGAAAACGACCTATGCATGTAGCGCACAGGAGACTGCGCCCTAAATTAACATATACATATTGAGAACATCTTCCGGTAACATCACCAATTTAATAGTTTACTTACAAGAACATCTTCCAATAACATCACCAATTTACTAGTTTACTTGTAAAAAAAAAAACTATATTTATAAACTTTAAAAATATATTTAAACACAATAACTATCCCGCATCAGCATCCCAAGATGAAAAGAACAAATTCTGCATGTAAAGATAAAGTGTCGTTATTACTGGCTGAGGCCCCAACGTTCTCATCACAGGTTAACCCAGTGTCGGGCAATATTATAACCGAATTATAAATAAGCAGAAAATGATACAAGAATGTTGGGCAGGGTAGGACAATATAAGACCCGAGTAAGACAGGAACTAGAAACATATATAAAACCCAAAGCACAGGTGGAAATTTTGTACTCGCACAGCAATTTGCCATAAAATAATATAAGTACATAGTTTTTTCGGATTCCACAGAGAAGTGTAGTAATTACAAGTAATCTCAACTATAAATACCAGCAAACAATCTGAACTCAGATTGTATATGCAAACCACAATGGGTGCTCTCAATTTAGAAGAATGTCCACTGAAATTTCATTTCATTCCTTATCCTGCACCTGGCCATATGATCCCTCTTTGCGACATTGCTACACTCTTTGCCTCATGTGGTCACCAAGTCACTATCATTACAACTCCTTCTAATGCTCAAATCCTTCTCAAATCCATCCCATCCCACCACCACATCCATCTCCGTACTGTTCCGTTTCCTTCCCTCCAAGTAGGCCTCCCGCTTGGCGTTGAAAACCTTGCCTCTGTTAACAATTTTGAGAACTCCTATAAGGTTCACCAGGCTACCATGTTGCTTCAATTACCAATCAGTCAAATTGTGGAGCAAGACGCACCTGATTGCATCGTGGCGGACTTTATGTTCTTGTGGGCGGATGAGTTGGCGAACAAGCTTCGTGTTCCTAGACTTGCCTTCAACGGTTTCTCCCTCTTTGCCATATGTGCCATGGAATCCCTCAAGGCACAGAACTATGAGTTATCTGTCATTAAGGGCCTTCCTCATTGTATTACCTTGAATTCAACACCACCGAAGGCATTGACCAAATTTATGGAACCATTGCTGGAAACAGAGCTTAAAAGCTACGGGCTCATTGTCAACAACTTTACTGAACTTGACGGAGAAGAGTACGTCGAGCATTATGAGAAAACCATGGGTCACAAAGCTTGGCATCTAGGACCAGTTTCTCTCATTTGTAGGACCACTCAAGAAAAGGCGGATAGGGGGCAAACGAGCGCAGTGAGCGTGGATGAGTGCTTGAGTTGGCTAAACTCAAAGCAGCCAAACTCAGTGCTCTACATATGTTTTGGGAGCCTATGTCATTTCTCTGATAAGCAGTTGTATGAGATTGCAAGTGCAATAGAAGCATCAGGTCACCAATTCATATGGGTTGTCCCTGAAAAGAAAGGGAAGGACGGGAGAAATGAGGCGGACGAAAAATGGATGCCAAAGGGATTTGAAGAGAGGAACACAGGAATGATCATAAGGGGGTGGGCACCACAAGTGGTGATTTTAGGCCACCCTTCTATCGGTGCATTCTTGACGCACTGCGGATGGAACTCCACTGTGGAGGCTGTTAGTGCAGGGGTTCCAATGATCACGTGGCCTGTGCACGACGAGCAATTCTACAACGAGAAATTAATAACTCAAGTGCGAGGAATTGGTGTAGAGGTTGGGGCAGAAGAGTGGAGCATCATCGGTTTCATGGAGAGGAAGAAGTTGGTGGATAGAAACATCATAGAGAAGGCTGTGAGAAGGTTGATGGACAGTGGAATTGAAGCTGACGAAATAAGACATCGTGCACAGGAGTATGCAGTAAAGGCCAAACGAGCTGTTCAAGAAGGTGGTTCGTCCCACAAAAATTTAATGGCATTGATTGATGATCTTAAGCGAGAGAGGGGATATAAGCCATTAGATTCATAGGGATTTCAAAGTTTTAAACATCATTAATTACCATTGTTACTAAACATCACAAAATAATGGCCAAATGAGGCTAAGACCAACAACCAAACATTGTTGTATTGCATTAGCTGTGCAAATGCCTGTTTGGAATTACATTTACAAAGAACAAATTATGATTTTTAGGTGTTTTGATGTATGTACCATATATTACTATTATTATTTAAATGATTAGAAAATAACTCAGCAAAGAATGAAACAACCATAAAAATAAACACATCCTATTTTCCTTGTCCTCAATGTGAAAGAATAATATCTTATTCTCATGCAATGTAACCCCATTTCATAACCGATAAAGTAATGATTGTCATGGCATATTCCAGCATATTCTTATACCATTTTTAAAAAATATTTGTGATGCCTTTATTAGAACCTACTTGAACTAAAATTATTTAACATCTACATTTTTAATTTATTTTTAGCATCAACCTTGTTAGCAGAGTGAGTATCTTTGGGGTAAGCCAAATAGTTACTATATTAATAAAAAAAGGCCAAGCTAAAACACAACATGTGCCAAGCTAAATAAAGCAGAACGGTACCAAAAATAGTATGCATAAAAACTAAAAACAAAGCACCGAGATTGAAGAAATTGTAATATATTCGGAGTCAAAACCCAAGTTAATGATCTTGTTGATAGAGTTTGATGCAAGCTATAACCTTGAGACAATGCATCCACAATAAATTAACCAAGATGTATAGGAGAGGTTTGATGAAAAAGTTTATACATACAAGGTATGGTATAAACTTATCTTTGTCGATCCAGCCATGGACATGAAACAGTGTTAGTGTTAAGTCTATTGTGGTCTTCCCCGACTCAAGGGATAAGTCTGCAGTTGGGCGCAGAGAATAAATGATTTATAGAACAAAAATGAAGAGATAGGCCAAATCTGAGCTAGTCAGCTAGAGCATTCGATGTTGTAAAAAAAGACTAACAAAATGAAGTCACACACATTCTAGTCGAGGAATTTTCTGTTCTTAGTTCTTACAGTGGGGAGGGAGGTACCACAATAGCACTATTTCAAGAAAACGGCTGTTGAGATTGTCTAGTAAAGCATACTCAATGAGTTGAAGTTTGGTTCCATAACTCTTCCTTTTCTGTATGAGGTTTAAAGTAGGACTTCTGTTTTTTTCATACTCAACAAAATCTTAAGTCCTAGATTGCACGTGTTTATTGAATAGAAACTAAATTGCACTTGAGCATTTCTTATATCTTTTGCAAAATTTACAATCAATGACTCGAGTCACCATAATCCATTATGTTTGAAATTTGAATAGAGTCACCATAATCCTTATTATGTTCGGATAGAACTCGTTGTTTATATGATGGAACTTCATAGAGAGTATGATTATTTTTTAGGTCAACCTTATTCTCTTTGTCAATTGTAATAATAAATATTTTTATTATCAGATTTCAGTAATAAAACATATAAAAGACAGCATGGAAATCATGAACAGAAACTGAAAATCTAAAGCTACATTCATGATTCTCCAACATCAACCTAAAGCAGATCAAATTGCATATCTTTATATAAAGTTACAAAAAGTGACAACAAAGCAAATAACTAAAACAAAACAAAAACATAAACTTAATTTGTGCTACTTACTAGAGCAAACTTTTGAGTCCCATGACAATTGTTGAACATTATGGTTGTTGTTGTGGTGAGGGAATTCTCTTATTAACAGGCTTCATCTTGTGGTTACTTCCGTTATTGTCATCGGAAACAGCTTTGGCAAATGCCTCCACAATTCGCCGCTGAGATTCGAGAATCATCTCAGTGCGCTTCATTTCCATATCCATCCGCATAGCTTCAATCTCCCTCGCCATCTCCATCTTCATTTGCTCCATCCTCACAAACCCGTCTCCCAATACCTTGATGGCAGACACAACCTCTCCAAATGGATCTCTTTCTCTTTTGTTACCTAAACCCTTATTTGTGACCGGAGGTGGCGGCGTCGGAGTCCCGTAGTTGTGATGCAGGTTAGGGTTATACTTCTGATCAGGAGGAAATCTTGATTCAGGTTGTGCATTCGGAAACCTAATTCTGAACCCTCCGCCAACACCGCCAACACCACCACCACCGCTACCGCCAACACCGCCAACACCACCACCACCGCTACCGCCAACGAAACCGTTCCTATATAATTTATTGATGCTTCTAGTGTTAGATCCGTGACCGTTTTTGATATCCATGTACAGATCTTGTTCTTGATCTTCTTCATCATCATCATCGGCGCTATCTGAATCGTTGTTTTCAGATTTAACCTGAGAAGGACCTTTCTCCATGGAATCCATGAGTTTAAAGTGAACCCAAGCGGAGTTGAATCGAGTGACAGGAAGTGAGCGAGCACGTTGAATCTCAGTGCGATAACGCTTTCTCAGCTTCTCCATCTTATGCCGGCATTGAACCGGAGTTTTTGCCGGAGAAGCATTGGGGCAACGATGAGAAACAGCGTCAGCCACTTCCTGCCAGTGAGTGGCCTTCAAGTTTCCACGGCCAAGGGAGTACCATTTGTCGCGATACGAATCGATGAGAGCTAGCGTTTCGTCGGGGGACCAGCAAGGAGGAGGAAGGCGGCGAGTGGAAGGTGGGAGAGGGAGTGGGGCTGGGAGAGCGAGGGGGACGGCGATGGGTGGATCTGGAAGAGATGGGAGAGTGGTGTTTGAGGGGGAGGAAGCCATTGAGGAAGAGGAGTGTGGTGGGAGAAAGGGTGGTGTTTGTGGTGATGAGAAAAAGGAATGGTTTAGGTTTGGTGGTGGTGGCGTTTGGTAACATATTTGGGTGGTGGTGGGCGGCAGATTTTGAGATGTGGACAGGATAGGACAAGGGGGACACCACCGAATTGGTGGGGGAAGAGGCTAACGTGCGCTCTGCTAACAACACGCGCACTTACTTCACACGTGATGTTCACATTTTTTTGGGTCAAACCCAATACTTACTGGATGAATTACTTGAACTTCTTTTCATCACTTCTTCAAGTAAGCCAAGTGATGATCTAATAAAAATCTTTCAAAGTTTTAAATCTAGAGTGTTCTTTTTTTAAATGTTTGAATTAGAGTATTTGAATTTGGTGAAGTTCAATAAACAAATATGGTGAGTGTAAATATTTCATTGAATCAAATCAAATTTAAGAATATCAACGATACATCAATACAAACAAAATTATGAAATAGATATGTCAGTTATTTCTTCCTTTGATTCAGTCATTCATCTTACAAATTTATCAAAATATAATGGGACAAATCAAGTTTGAATGTGTAGCGGGAACAAATTTTATACAGATAAATTTAATTTGTTCGATTTCGATTGTATTTGGATTGATGAAATGTGATGTAATGGAGCGGAATAAAATGAAATAAAATTATGTGTATTCATTTGCATTAGTTAAAAGAGGATGAAATTTACCATATTTTTATTCCATTCAATTTGAGAGAATATCGTTTATTAAGTTCTGTTTCATTCTGTTCGGTTAGATTTGAGACTTCACACACAAGAGAGAGTAAATTGTGTGGCTTGGAAAAATATAATTTTGAAAACTTTTAGCAAGTTAAATCCGAGTTTGAAAATATTTTTTAATTCTTAATAGCGGAAAATAAATATCTCAAGTGCATAAATTAAAAAGTTAAAGGAAAAAGGAGAACACCAAGAATTATAAAGGTTCGGTCAAAAATAAAAAGGACTTACTTCTCTTCTCAAGATTTGGTCTTGAGAGTTTTCAATAATACTTCAGAGTTTTTAGTAGGAAAGACTCACGTACCCCTTTATATAAAGAAATGATAGTTGTCCTACAACCAAAATATTATAAGACACACTACTACAAATAAAACATTTCATGACGAAACTTTCACCTCAATTAAAAAAATCGGAGGTATTATGCCAAGGCGCATCATGTTTTATTTTTTTTATAAAAATAAAAACAACATATTTCTTCGGTTTTTAATAAAATCGAGGGAAAAATAAATCAAGACACGCTTTGAATCCCAGCTATTGCATTATGTACTTTTATTTGTTTATAAGTGAATATTAAATGATCTATCTCTTCGATTTTATTAAAAAGCGAGGGATAACATAATCATATTTTACTATAAAAGCACTCGTTAAATAAATTTAGCCCTAATCCTTATGTTTACGAAGTCGCCCCAAACTAGTACTCATCATTCTTTGGGATAGATTGCAAGACAAGAAAAATCTTCAATCTTCTTCTATCGTTGAACAAAATATTTTTATGTCCTTGCAATATATCTCACATAATAATGTTGATGTTGTATTTTTGGAACAACTCTCTTTTAAAGAATATTGAAAAAGTTCCCTATGATAGATTTCAAGTGTAGACAAATATTTTTGCTTCCACGTGAAACAAAGAAGGTTGTTCAACCTTTGAAAAGATATATGCAACAAAATTTGGAATTTTGCAGCGATGATGATTAATATGGATTTTTTTTTAATATTTTGTGTTAACAATGTAATATTTAAAAAAATATATAATTCACTTAGGTTTTATTCTAAAACCGAGAGGCTTTCTTATTTTATTTTATTTTTCTATTTAAAATAGAAAATATGTTTTCCAAAAAACCGAGGTAACATATTACACAGCTACAACAATGAATCTCTACCCTACATTCTTAAATGAACAACACTCAAGATATTGTCAAGACATCAATCCACAACAAAATATCTATCCACCATTATATATCTTTCTTGTGAAAACATTCGCATTGATAACTTTTGCTCAAGATAATGAAATTTTGGAACTAAAAAAAAAACTTGAAAAAGTTCCCTATGATAGGACAAGGGGGACACCACCGAATTGGTGGGGGAAGAGGCTAATGTGCGCTCTGCTAACAAGACGCGCACTTAATTCACACGTGATGTTCACGTTTTTTTTGTCAAACCCAATACTCATTGGATGGATTACTTGAACTTCTTTTCATCACTTCTTCAAGTAAGCCAAGTGATGATTTAATAAAAATCTTTCAAAGTTTTAAATCTAAAGTGTTCTTTTTTTAAATGTTCGAATTGGAGTATTTGAACTTGGTGAAGTCCAATAAACAAATATGGTGAGTGTAAATATTTCACTGAATCAAATCAAATTTAAGAATATCAACGATACATCAACACAGACAAAATTATGAAATAGACATGCCAGTTATTTCTTCCTTTGATTCAGTCATTCATCTTACAAATTTATCAAAATATAATGGGACAAATCAAGTTTGAATGTGTAGTGGAAACAAATTTTACCAAGATAAATTTAACTTGTTCGATTTCAATTGTATTTGTATTGATGGAATGCCATGTAATGGAGCGGAATAAAATGAAGTAAAATTGTGTGTATTCATTTGGAGTAGTTAAAAGAGGATGAAATTTATTATATTTTTATTCTATTCAATTTGGGAGGATATCTTTTTTATTACATTCCGCTTCATTTTGTTCGGTTGGACTTGAGACTTCACACACAAGAGAGAGTAAATTGTGTGGTTTGGAAAAATATAGTTTTCAAAACTTTTAGCAAGTTAAATCTGAGTTTGAAAATATTTTTTAATTCTTAACAGGGGAAAATAAATATCTCAAGTGCATAAATTAAAAAGTTAAAGGAAGAAGGAGAACACCAAGAATTATAAAGGTTCGGTCAAAAACAAAAAGGACCTACTTCTCTTCTCAATATTTGGTCTTGAGAGTTTTCAATAATACTCCCGAGCTTTTAATAGGAAAGACTCACGAACCCTCTTTTACAAAGAAATGATAGTTGTCCTACAAACAAAATATTACAAGACACATTAGTACAAATAATACATTTCATGACGAAACTTTCACTTCAACTAAAAAAAACCTGAGGTAATATGCCAAGGCGCGTCATGTTTTATTTTTTTTATAAAAATAAAAACAACATATTTCTTCGGTTTTTAATAAAATCGAGGGAAAAACAAATCAAGACACGCTTCGAATCCCAACTATTGTGTTATGTGCTTTTATTTGTTTATAAGGGAATATTAAATGATCTATCTCTTCGATTTTGTTAAAAAGCGAGGGACAACATAATCATATTTTACTATAAAAACACTCGTTAAACAAATTTAACCCTAATCCTTATGTTTATGAAGTCGCCCCAAACTAGTACTCATCATTCTTTGGGATGGATTGCAAGACAAAAAAAATCTTCAATGTTCTTCTATCGTTTAACAAAATATTTTCATGTCCTTGCAATATATCTCACAAAATAATGTTTTATATTTTTGGAACAACTCTCTTTTAAAGAATGTTGAAAAAGTTCTCTATGATAGATTTCAAGTGCAGAAAAATATTTCTGCTTCCATGTGAAACAAAGAAGGTTGTTCAACCTTTGAAAAGATATATGCAACAAAATTTGGAATTTTGCAGTGATGATGATTAATATGGAATTTTTTTAATATTTTGTGTTAACAATGTAATATTTAAAAAAATATATATTATTCACCTAGGTTTAAATCCAAAACTGAGAGACTTTCTTATTTTATTTTATTTTTCTATTTAAAATAGAAAATATGTTTCCCAAAAAACCGAGGTAACATATTACACAGCTATAACAATGAATCTCTACCCTGCATTCTTAAAAGAACAACACTCAAGATATTGTTAAGACATCAATCCACAACAAAATATCTACCCACAACTATATATCTTTCTTGTAAAAGCATTGACATTGATAACTTTTGCTCAAGATAATGAAATTTTAGAACTAAAAAAAAAACTTGAAAAAGTTCCCTATGATAAATTGCATGTGCAGAAAAAACATTTTCAATGTTTGGAACTGATAACTTCTTACTTGAAGCAGATAGCTCCTTAGAAGTTGATTGTATGTAGTCCATTGAATTTTAAAATAATGAGCACAAAATGTATTCAACAAGATCTGGATTAGAGAAAAGATGTGGTATTCTCCAAAAACAACAACAATTATGATAACACTACATTTGTTGTATTAATGTAATTTAATGTTCTGTTTACATAATGTAATGTTAACAAAAAGCTTACACACCTTTTACCTCGGTTTTTTTTAACAGAAATTGAGAATAATTTTGGTATGACTATTGAGGATATTTATCATCGCCCTTAAACAAATTTGTATCGTCAATTTCATGAGTACCAACGCTCAAGACACTTCTATTAGTGATCCGCGTGAAACCTAACATACATCCATTATAAAAGCATTTTGAATATCAATAGTTGTTAATGAACCATAACACGACAACTTTGAAGCGTAAAAAACTCAGAATCTTCTCTATAATGGATTGCAATAGTAGAAAATAAATTGGATTTAAGGTTTGTGTTCTTCAATAATCAATTTTTATGGTGTTCTTCTATAATCATATATTCATTCATTTAACTAACCATTTTCTTGTTTTACATCATAAATAAATAAATGCGAAAGGGATCTGGAATATATTGCACCCAACATTTTTTCTTGCACGACATTTCAATGAAATGAGGATCTGACATCTGATCTTCACCAATAATGACGATTATCATATTCCAAATTTATTATATATATTTACAAAAGTATTTTGTGTAAAAAATATAATATTATGGGCAAACAATTAATTTATTAATATTTTGTAGTTTATAACGAGATTAAAAAAAAATCAATCTTACCCCTCGGTGTTATTGGTAAACCAAGAGATTTGAAACACTAGTTTTGAAAATATTA